TGTGTGTCAGGAAGCATGTGTTGCTCTGCGCTGTAATTACAGTGTAGACACCAGCTGCTGTTTCTGCATTCCAACACACACTGATGCTGCCAGTAGAGGTCATGACACATTGCGTTCACAGTTTCCACCATGACTGATCCTCTTACAAACACTTCAGATCATACTCTACCTGTTAGGGGCTGATGTTCATGCTCAAAAGGGTTTACGGAGATTTTGACACCTGAACTCTTCATCAACCCATATACTGATTTGGTTATTTCAGATGTCTGATAGTAACCTTACCAGTCTCGATTTCACTGTGTTTAAGTCATTGGCAATTACAAATCATGTTGTTTATCCCGCTGGCAGTCTGATGATTGAAGGTGTGACATTATGTATACACGCATACACAAAAACTAATCCGGTTCAGAAGTTCAGCTGAACAATGATCCTGCCTTAAGGGCAGATACTAACAATGTAGAGAGAAATATAGGATGATAGTGCATTCATCTCAATGGAAATTTGATTGTTAGATCAAACAAGTTAAAAGAGAATGAGGGAAAACTGTTAACATTGACTTCAGCAGAGCAGATAATGTGTTATTTGCAAAAAGTAGTTATCAAATAAAGGATTTTAAGATGATACAATTTCACAAGTTCAACTTTGGCACCAAAAAATATCTACTATATCTACTTTATTGTGTGCACCAATAACCTAGTGGTTAGTGTGTCGACTCATAGCACAGAGGTGCTCACAGCGACCTGAGTTCTGAGGTCCTTTGGCGATCATTTCCCTAACTCTGCTCCCCATACTTTCCTGTCTGTAGATCTTCACTGTCCTATAAAAACATGGATAAAACCACCTAAAACATTATTATTAAAAAATAGCTACTATAATTAAAATTATAAATTAAAATCTCCCAAAAGTTCTGTTTTGGTCAACAGGGCCTATTACCCCATCCCATTATTTGTTTGGGCTAATAAGTTTTTATTTATTTATTTATTTTATATTCAGATTAATTGTTTTAACAAATTCTTTTGGATCTATACAAGTATATTGCAATGTACTGTATCTACAATTTTACTAAATGATTGAATAGCACTATTTTGGAAAGAATTTATAGTCACACTTTTATTTTAATGTTCTCTTCTCGCTTTTAGCAAACCATTAACTATTACCTTTTACTTCAATAAACTTCTAATCTGCTACTTATTAGTAGACATTAAAGTAGTTTAGACATTGGGTTAGGGATGTAGAATACGATCAGACTATAATTTTATAAGTACTAATAAGCATCCAATATCTTAATAACATGCATGCTAAAGCTAATGGACCCTTTCACAAGAAGCGATGTGGATTGCATACAATGCAATATCGATGCTGAAACGATATGTTGTGCAGCCCTATTTATTTTATTTGGAACTGGTTACAAATGATAGAAAAATTGCCATTAGAGTTCCTTTAGAATTTCATGACAATAACTTCAACTTCATGCATTTGTTTGCCTATGTTTTCCACTATGTCTATCCATACCTGTCTCTCTCTTTCATCACTCCCCGTTTCTCCACCTTCTATCCTATTCATTCTAATTTCTCTACCACCCTTTACAATTACTGTATATTCTCCTCCTGGCATGTCTTTGTCCCCTTAGGCTGTTAGTCTTAACTGTGTGTGTGTGTGTGTGTGTGTGTGTGTGTGTGTGTGTGTGTGTGTGTGTGTGTGTGTGTGCGTGCGTGTGCGTGTGTGTGTGTCTGTTCATGACAGATTTGTTTTTCAGTGTTATGTTCACATGTGTGTAAGCTGCACCCTCTCTTGCTCGGTGACCTTAAAATCTTTCAAATGGTTTGTATTGACAAGAGAGGCTGGATGTCTGCTGTTGGTTGACTCAGCCGCTGCTCTGCCTATAGAAACACTATACAGTCTTGTCCTTCATGTTCTGTCTATAGAGCGTAGTATAGTGTTAAATGTTTAAAGTAACATTCTAATGCTCATCTACTCCCTATGAGACCCACTTACTAGATAGTGCAGTAACAGTCAGTTTTATTTAATAAAATCTCATTTCATTTTCATTTTAGACTGTGTTCACCAAAGTATAGGAGATACCTAGGCTATAGCTTTTTGAGAGTACTTTTACATTGCAATACAATTTTTTAAATGTAAATAAATGAACTGATAAAGTTATTTTGCAGGCACTTCCACACTTAAACCCCTGGCATCTCTTTTGACATTTATATTTATATATATATATATATATATATATATATATATATATATATATATATATATATATATATATATATATATATATATATATATATATAGGCTAATTTATATTGTGTTCCATGAAAGGTAAACCACTTTGAAATAAAGGTTATATTATATAATAATAATAATATAATAATATAATAATAATATATATATATATATATATATATATATATATATATATATATATATTATATATATTATATATTATATATAGAGCATATATATGCAGAGCATATATTATTATTATTATTATTATAAACCTTTATTTCACAATGGTTTACCTTTCATGGAACACAGTTTAAATTAGCCTTTAGGCTTAAACATTAGACTCGCTCCTGTTCGTCCTGAATCTGGCAACGTGTGCTTGTGTTTGTTTTGATCCAGGAATGCAATACATTAACCCCTGGGTGTCAAACTTGCATACAGCACCTTTAACATTTTCCTTCTGATGGAAAGACTGTTTTGGGCTTTTCACCAGTGCTTAACCTTGGGTTATTATAAACGCAACTTTTAGAGTTAGCGCTCTTTCACAGTACAGGTTGCGATGCTGAAACAAAGCTGCGTAAAAATTATGGCCACATGTATACTTCACATCAGACAGCCAGTTGCATGCCTTATTAGATTCACATACTTTAGACAGTTACTTAAGCATTGTGTTGTATAAATAGTAAAATAAATAAATTTGTAAAATCAAAGTACGTCATATAGGCCCAATCCCAATTCTATTTTTGTACCCCTACCCCTTTTCCTTCCCTTTGGTCCTTACAACCGAGGGTTATGGGAAAGGGCTTCAGAATTTACCCCTAAGAATTGGGACAGTACTACAGCACCTGCAAACATCATCATATGTAATTGCGATCTCTTGCTTCATATAAGATCAGACGATCAAGACTGCTGTAGTTATTCCAGGTGTGCTATTTTTTGGCATTTATCTTCAGGAAATCACTGAAGGCATATATTATTTTATCATAACGTATTTAATGGGACCCCGGCGGCATATTACAGAACATTTCTTGTCTAAGGCATTATTTAGGATGTTGTAATTTCTCCAATTTGCACGAAAATGAAGTTATAAAGCACATTTTCACTTGATTTGGCATTTATATCCATTCTTACAAAATAATTTTTTATCTTTAGTTAGGAAACCTTGTCATCAAGTTCGAAAATCCACTCTCAGGGTTGTTACAAAACAACCAGCACTGCACAGGTTGCTAATGAGTGCTAATTGAGTTGCCAATTAAAAAAAAAAAAAAAGCTTGAGGCATTACTCCCTTGCCCTATAACTGGTAATGCTTCTGGTATCATGACACTTTGATGGTTTCTGTAATGCTGGTTGCAGTTCCTGTGCTAACATCATGTTGCACGGCGGTCAGTATTTCGTCATGGAAACATTCAGGATCCTTCAAACAATTTTGTTCTTGATTTTCAACGATGTTGTTGAACATTTCTATTATAAGCTTTTGGGTTGCCCTTAAGTTGAGAGATTTTTTAGGATTCTTTGTTAGGTTCAAGAGGACTTTGATATTGCTTGACGCTATTAGCAGGTTTGGCATGCTGTCCCGGGAGAGATGACCTTAAACTGATGACCTTTACGGCCAATCACAGTCATTTCTGCTGAGCACTGATGAATACAACGGCAAATCAGTGCCGTTTAAGAATGAGCTCAGCAGTGATGAAATGTTAACGGGAAATTGAGTTTTTTTAAAAAGTAAATTTCAGTACGGAAATTCAGTATCGTGACAAGTCTAATATAGTGGAATAATCAGTTCATTAACTTGAGTTTGATAAATGGTATCTAAAACGTGTGTTTGGGAAAGAAAATGTTAGCTAATAACTAGTGCCATTTCCCTTAACTTCGCTGAAAATGAGGTCCGATATCCCTTTTTATTTTCACTGCATTCAGAACGGACCTACCGGTCACTTGGAAGGTGGTGAAATTACACATTTGTGTCACTTTCTCTTCGCTGATAAGATATACAGCCATTTCCAGTGTGACTCAGGCGATGTTTACAGGTTTCTTCCCACCGCAGCCTCAATTTCACTTTTAAAATGGCGGCCGCGTGAAATCTGTCTATAGTAGGCTTCAATCAATATGATTGGGTTACTGCTGATTACGGATGGAAGACCATCCGCGATCAATCATATCATGTTCTTCTCTTGAAATTAGTTTAGAATACTTCACTTAGGATGCTTCTGTAATATCCCAACACTATCCTTAGTTTAGATAACATACATAGGACATGCTGTTTAATAAGAGCTTTTGTCCTAAATGTGGTCTAAAATTAAAATGACAATGAAATTAACTGAAATGACCATGGTTACCAAACAGATACAGTAGGATAAAATTTTTAAATTAGTTTAGTTTCTGTAATATACCCCCCATGTCCCTGGACTACAAACCCAGCCATAAGTGTACAATAATTGAAAATTGAAATGTGAAAATCTGAATAAATGTGTTTTCAATTGATTGTTTTTCCCTCATGCATCTTATTTACTCTTCTATGGTTCTCGACTTCCCCTGAAATGAGTGATGTTTGTGTATGGTTGGAGGGGTCCAATTTTCACTGCATGTAACAGTGTATGTGACAAATAAAGGCTTTCATCATCATCATCATCACCATATTATTCATTTTCATTGATTGATCAATATTCGGCAGAAACACAACTATTTAAATATCTGGAATCTATGAGTTAAATAAATCACCAAAGAAATATGTATTTTCCCCCCAAAAATATGCTGACACTAAACAATGTGCAAATAAACACATTTAAATATCTTTATTGAACAGAACCATTATAAACATTATAGCAGAGCTTTCAAAATAGATACCATAAAAGATATAAAATTAACACGAGCACTGTTCGACAAGACAAACATGAGTACAGGAACTACAACTTACACACAATTATTGACAAAACAAGTACATACACTCCTAATTTGGAGAAAAAGTGCTGCTCGTTTTCTCCTTCCCTGTATTTAAACCGATCCCCAGTTCACAGCGCAAGGATCATTTTTCACAGCTTACATTCATAATAAACACCAATCGCTATGCATTAGTCTCCTCTATTTATGTGGTTTTAAGCAATATTTAACTCCTGTAAGTACTAGAACGGTACATATTTATAGTACAGTGGCCTAGAAATTTGAAAGTGGCATAATATTATTTCTTATTTACTGAGCTATTCCTATACACTTGAGAAATATACATATAAATAGAGCTTATTTGTGTTCCTACTTCATTTAAAAAAACAAAACAAAAAAAAAAACAGATTTTGTTTATCACATACAAGGCTGAGATGAAACAAATGAAATAAAAGCGTTTCTATTCTTTTTTTTCCCTCTTTTTTTTTAAAGATGTTCTCATGCACATCAAAATAGCTTGGTAATTCGACAGCTTTGTTTGCATTTTACATAGGCTTAAGTTACTTTTTCATGAATCTTGGTGGATATTTACCCTTTCTACAAGTTCACTAAAATGAATTGAAGGCTTAGCATTTTCTAATGATCAGCCAATTTTTTATGGAGCCAGATCAGTCTCAGAAATAATACATTTGCAAAAATCAAGCTCGTACATGCATAATGCAATTCATATTTACAAAATCCAGTTCGTAAATTCAAAACACAATGTGTAAATTTACATGTAAAATAATAAATATTTCCCCAAATAAATTACACGTGTGCATTTATATATTGTACTGTAATTTGAATTTATGCATTGTGTTTTGAATGTACATATTGGATTTGCGTATTTATGAATTGTGTTTTGAGTTTGCGATTGCATTTGCGCATTTATGAATTGTGTTTTGAATTTACCAATTAGATTTGCACATTTATGAATTGTGTTTTGAACTACGAATAGGATTTACGTATTCATTAATTATATTTTTAATTTACGAATTGGATTTGCACCTTTATGAATTGTGTTTTGAATTTACGAATTTGATTTGCGCGTTTATGAATTATTTTGAGTTTATGATTTGAATTTGTGTTTTGAATTTACAAATTGGATTATGTATTTATGAATTGTTTTGAGTTTGGGAATTGCATTTGCACATTTATGAATTGTGTTTTGAATTTACCAATTAGATTTGTGCATTTATTAATTGTGTTTTGAATTGCGAATAGGATTTACGTATTCATGAATTGTGTGTTTAATTTACGAATTTGCACATTTTTTAAACTGTTTTGAATTTATGAATTAGATTAGGGTATTTACGTGTTTTGAATTTAATAATTGGATTGGCATGTTTTTATGAATTGTATTGAATTTACAAATTGGATTTGTGCATTCATGAATTGTGTTTGAATTTACAAATAACTTTTTTGTAAATGTGAAATGTGTATTTTGTAATTGTATTATTTTTGAGGAGGGCGGCTTAGTGGTTAGCGTTGCCACCTCACAGCAGGAAGGTTGCTGGTTCGAGTCCCGGTTGGACCAGTTGGCATTTTTGCATGGAGTTTGCATGTTCTCCCCGTGTAGGCTTGGGTTTCCTACGGGTGCTCCGGTTTCCACCACAGTCTAAAAAGACATAATAAGCTAAATCGTTCGGAGTGTATGAGTACGTGTGTATGGGTGTTTCCCAGTACTGGGTTGCAGCTGCAAGAGCATCCACTGCGTTAAAAAAAAAAAAAAAAAAGGTAGAATAGTTGGTGGTTCATTCCACTGTGGCAACTTCTAAAATGAAGACTAAGCTAAAGAAAAATAAATGATTTTTGAGACTGATCTGGCTCCATATTTTTTAACCCAACTCTGTCAGATTTCCAGGTGTTTTTGCTTTACATAAACACCAGAAAGAAAACTGCATGATTCCAGCATTATGTTTCCAAAGGCAGTCTGATGGTTGTGCATAAGTGTCCTAAGTGGTACAGTGTCTACTTGATTTTTGTAATGTATTTATTTATTTATTTGCTTATATGTGCGTGGACTCCCTCCGGTTTCTCTCAATCCCTTGGGTTCTGTAGTTAAAAAACACATGCAGTCCATTGACTGGATGCACAATTGGTACCGTCTGCATCCTTGGATATGTTTGGGTTGCCAGAGTGCAGTCCGCTGTGGCCAGTAGCTCCACTGCCAGAGTTTTGAGCACAATCAAAGCCAGCTCTCGGCCGATGCATCTCCTCACACCGCCTCCGAAAGGCACGTAACTAAAACGCTCGCTTTTACTTTCTTCTCGGCCCACACAGAAACGGTCTGGGTCAAAGAGCTCTGGGTTTTGATAAGCTTCTGCCGTCTCGTGTGTGTCGCGGATGCTGTACATGACGCTCCAGCCCTTCGGGATCTGATAACCCTGCAGATACAAAGCATAAGGAATTTTTATATTAGACGTGTATATATATATATGTATATACAAACACACACACACATACACTCTCAGAAATGAAGGTAGGTGAGCTGTCACTGGGGTGCACCTTTTCAAAAGGTACACATATGTACTTGAAGGGTCCATATTGGTACCTCAAAAGTATATATAAGTACCTAAACATTTTAAGAGGGACTTTTTTTTTGTATTTTTGATGGTACTAATATGTACCTTTAAGATATTATAGACCTTTTAGGTACACATTTGAACCTTTTTTTAAAAGGTACCACACCAGTGACAGCTCGCGTACCTTTATTTCTGAGAGTGTAGTGACATTTCACAATTATTTTTTTATCGGCAACATAAAATGATCATATTGATTTTTCAGGGTATTATGATGTATAATTGATACAATTTTAAATTGTAATGTAACATAAAATTAGCAGTTAAAATTACTATATGACAATTTTATCATTTCTAAAATTAGATTTGTAATATTCTAAATTAATAATAATATTAACTATAATTGTGCCCAATATAAAATGACTAATATGAGCCTTTGATTATTCAGTGCTCAAGAAAATTACAATATTCTTTCTTCCATTTATTTTTTAAAAGCAGCAAACAATAATGATGATTATTAGTTTTGCATTCCTATTTTTCATTCACACTAGACTTCAGTTAATAAATAAGTTACACAATTGAATGCCAAAATTCTCAGCTAAATCCATAATAATAATAATAATAATAACAATCCATATTTTTATCTACAGCTTATTGATAATGATGTTTATTATTCATACATCATACAACTGCTGTAAAATTGACAGTATTACTGGCAAATTTGGTTAATCTTTTTTATTTTAATCTTCTTAATCGTTTTAGTTTTAGTCGACTAAATCTACTCTAGTCTTAGGATGTTGTAACAGCATCCTGCGTCTACTGTGGATCAGTTACTTTTCAAATGTGTGTGTGCCTCATGCATCACACACCAAAATTGATACTCATTGGATATTTTCCATAGAAAACGCCCCCAATCACATTCTCATCTCATTTTTATTAGTCTACAAAATGTGAGTATATTTTTATTATAGTTGTAGATATCATCACTTAATTTTTATTTAGTTTTCATCTGTAGAAACTTGTTTGCCACAAAAATTATGACTAGAATTTTTCATCAATGAAATGCACACTAAAGTGGACTGTAAATGAACAGCACAGTTGTAAATGTTAATTTAGAGTGTGCATGTAAATTTTGCCTGTAATACTGTAAAATTTAAGAGAGGGCAGCGAATATCAACTGAACTGCCTCTTCCTGAAATGCATTTTAATTTCGTTTTTGTAATACTGTAAAATTTACAAGCACACTGTAAATTTTACAGTATTACTGGCAACCAAAATTTTTAGTTTTTATTTTTAGAAAAATGTTTAGTTTTCGTTCAATGTGTAAAATATCATGATTTTATAATCTGTTTTTAAAACAATATAGACTCATAAAGATTCCTCAGCAACATTAAATTTAATGCATTTAAAAATGCATCTGTGTAAATTGTTCTAATAAGCCACTCACGTTCAGTTCAAATGTTTGCAGAACTGTCCTGTATCCTCCAGACACCGGTGGGAGGAACCGAAGCACCTCTTTGACCACGCAGTCCAGGTATGAAAGTTGACTCAGTTTCTCCAAGCTCAGGTAAGGGACGTGGGTCCGAGAGCGACGGCCCTCCTCCTTGTCTCCTGCTTCAAAATAAGTTGCTTTATTGATCGCTGATCTCCGGTCGCTGGTGCTCTTCTCCGCAGCTTCACCTTCTTCACTGATGGCATTCCCGTTGCATCGAGAGCGGCAGTGTCCATGGCCATCAGTGATCAAGCCCTCGCTCTCCAGCTCTGCTCTGGCTCGTTCGCTCACGTCTGGATGACGCAGCAGCTGCATGATCAGGGATGTTGAAGCGCTGGCCGTCGTCGAGTGGGCAGCGAAGATTAACTCAACTGCCGTTTCCTGCAATGCATTTTAATTTCGTAAGTCTAAATTCAAATGAAATGCAAATATTTCAGTTTGCCGGACTTAATAATTGACCCTTATGTCTTAAGTTGCATGGCAATACAGTTGAAGTCATAATTATTAGCGCTCCTGGATTATTAGCCCCCTATAATAAACATGATTTTCATGAGGCATTATAATTGTGTCATCAATATTTTTCTGATCACATTTTCAGTAGAACAAACTGTTTTTGTCATTTAAAATGTCTCTTTAAAAAAGTAATCAGGCGACATGGTGGCTCAGTGGTTAGCACTGGGGCCTCACAGCAAGAAGGTCGCTTTTTTGAGTACCGGCTGAGTCAGTTGGCATATCTTTGTGGAGTTTGCATGTTCTCATCGTGTTGGCGAAAGTTTCCTCCTGGTGGTCTGATTTTCCCCACAGTCCAAAGACATGCGCTGCAGGTGAGTTAAGCGAAATTGCTCGTCGGGTATGTGTGTGAATGAGTGTGTATGGGTGTTTCCCAGTACTGTGTTGCAAGTGGAAGGGCATACGCTGTGCAAAACATATGCTAGATAAGTTGGGGGTTCATACCACTGTGGCGACCCCTGATGATTAAAGGGATTAAGCCAAAGGAAAATGAATGAATGAATGAATGAATTAATGAAAAAGTAGTCATTTTTAACAGCATCATTAATATTTAATGACATTTTAATCACAAATTTAGCTTGCACCACTGTAGTTGAGATAAATAAAAATATCAATGACTGTTATAAAATTGATCACATATAATGTCTTCATAATAATCATGTTTATGACAGATTTAGGAGTTTTGTTTTCTTGGTAAAGTCTAGTTGTCATGACAGACAAAAACAGGGTGTGATATATTTGTTTGTCAAGTTGTCATAACAAACAATGTCATTACTGAGTAGATGGCACTTAATGACAGTGGTGATAAGCATGCATAAATCTCATTCACAATCATGACATTGTGTTACCGATTTTTCTTTTATGCCAAAAATCTGTTTTATAATAGTTTTAAACAAAGATCATGTTCCAAGAAGATCATTCATTCATTCATTCATTTTCCTTCAGCTTTAGTCCCTTTCTTAATCGGGGGTCGCCACAGCGGATTGAACCATCAACTTATCCAGCTATGTTTTACACAGAGGATGCCCTTCCAGCTGCAACGCAGTACTGGGAAACCTCCATACACACATTCACAGAAATGAACGCACAAACACTATGGCTAATTTAGTTTATTCAGTTCACCTATACCACATGCCTTTGGACTGAAGGAGAAACCAGAGCACCCGTAGGTAACCAACACAAACACAGAGAGAACATGCCAACTCTACACACAAATGCCAACTGACCTAGCCGGGACTCAAACCAGCAACCTTCTTGCTGTGCTAGCCACTGAACGACCGTGTCGCCATTCCAAGAAGATATTTTGTAAATGTCTTACTCTAAATATAATAAAACATATTTGTTTATTTGTAATATGCATGGCCAAGAACTTAATTTAGACGATTTTATTGCCAATTTTCTCAGTATTAAGATTTTGTTTGAGAGATATTCCAGATATTGAAATATTTGTATCTCTGCCATCAATTTTTTTATACTAACAAGCCATACATAAATGCAAAGCTTATTTATTAATGAGTATATATGTATAAATCTCAATTTTGAAAAATTGTCTCATGACTGATTTTTTTGGTTCATGGTCACATTTTGAATAACCTTTGAGAAAATATAATATTAACATATTTGGTCAAAGAATGTTTCGTTATCATTTAGCTGAACATAAAGGATGCTAAATAAAGCATATTAATTCTGAGCAAGAATATTGATTCCTAATTAAATCTATAAAATAATAAGTGATCATGCAAGTCTGTATTATATTTCAATAATTAAATGGATAGTTCACCCAAAAGTAAACTTTTATTCAGCATTTACTCACCCTCAAGTGGTTATTTTTTTATGTTGAAAACATTTTGGAAACCGAAAACCATCAACATCCACAGTATGAAAATTAAAGGCTACTGGTTACCAACATTCATCAGAATATCTTATTTTGTGTTCAACAGAAAAGAAAAACTGGGTTGGAACAAGTGAAGTAAAAGAAAAATATGACATAATTTTCAGTTTTGGGTGAACTATCCCTTTAGGGGCTTTTTTGCTAACAAATGGGTAAAGCTTAGTGCTTTGAAGAATAATGAAAAATAAAATTGGCATTTAAAATAAGTTTGAGTTTTGGGGCTGCACTTTGATCCTTAAATAGCATTTTTTAATATCCAGTCAATTGTTCTTGCTTAAAATATGCCTGACAAGATTTTTGGTATATATGCATATTTCAGTGAAAGACATTATAGTCATTATAAAACTGGGTGTAGTAAAAAGCTAGCACACAATATTTTTAGATTTGGCGTCTTAAGGTTTACCTTGAGTTCTTGCATTGTAAGTTCATAGTCATTTTCCCTCGCACTGCTCAGCATGTAGTCAAAAGCATCGCAGTAATCGCTGGCTTGCTGTTTTTTCAGCTTCTCCTCTATGATCTTCTCCATGGCAGAGTGCAGAATCTCACGAGCTCTGATTCCCTAGAATAAATCAAACAGACTGGGGTCATACCTAAACCATTTTCAAAGCAACCAAGATTTTAACATTATTTACTTTGTAACACTTTACAATAAGGTTTTATTAGTTAATGTATTCACTCAAACAAACAATAAACAATACATTTATTACAGTATTCATACATCAGAATTGTTCCTTGTTAGTTCATGTAAACTCAGTCCATTAACTAATGTTAACAAGCATGATTTTTGATGTTAATAATGCATTAGTAAATGTTGAACTAAGTATTGTTCATTATTAGTTCATGTCAGTACTAACATTAACTAATGAACTTTTGTAAAGTGTGACTGTTTATGTATACATTGATCTAAATATGTCATTTACTTTCTTGATGAATCTATCTTGCAATTTAAGTACATGAGCGATAATCCTCACCCTTCCCTAACACACAAACACCATGTGTTATTTTATATTATGTTGGATAAATTAAGTTTTATACTTGGTCAGAGTAGTAATCATTGAGAAACAGCATAGTCAGAACTGCATTGTTATTCAGTTGTATAATAGTGACAATTTTGTCATGTGATATTGATAAACTGTTTTAAATATACATTTTTATCTAAATTGTACTTGTATTTTGTATATAACAATATACAGCTGTATATTGTATTTTTTTTTCTTTCTTTTTTTGGTGTTTCACAAGACCATACATAGTTGTATACAATACAACATAGGATAAATTACAGACTGTCTAATTTTTCTCATTTACCCAGCATCCCCTCAAAATAAAATACAGTTTAAATTGAATTAAAAACAAACATATCCTCTGAGAGAGAAAAAGATATAAAAAAGAAATAATAATTAAGGATGAAATATATATATATATATATATATATATATATATATATATATATATATATATATATATATATATATATATATATACACATAGCAAGATTACAACAGAAGAGCAAAAAAAAGACACGTTTTGAATTAAGGAGTCAGTATTTTCTATTTTCTCTCAACTGTCTATTAGAGTTGATATCAACTGAACAGACTAAGCCTTTGATGTAGTCTAAAACAGGGCTCCAGGTTTTGTAAAAAGATTTGAGAGATCCTGCAAGTAAGCATTTTAACTTCTCAAGTTTTATCCAGCTAAAGATTTCTTGGATCCACATGTCATGTGATGGAGGAAGTACCTGTTTTCAATTTATACGAATGTCTCGTCTAGCTAAAAGCGTAGAAAAAGTAATGACCTGGCAAGATGCAACAGTCAAGTCAACTCTCTCTGAAATACCAAAAGGGGTTGTCGAGGGGTTAGGGTCTAGATTTATGTTAATAGCTTTCGTAAGTGTATCAAAAAAAGCTGGACCATACATTTATCAATTGAGGGCAACTCAAATTGTATATTTCTAGATCAAACATATTAACACCAATCATTTCAGAGATTCCAAAAATAAGAAAACACTATCACAATTTTGATGGTTGGAATTAAAGAGTTAAACAGTTCCCAGTGATCATTTACTCCTCCTCCACTTGTTTCAAATCTGTTTCTTTCTTTTGATGAACTCAAAGGAAGCCATTTTATAGAATGTTGGAACCTGTTAACCATTGACTTCCATAGTATTTATTTTGCCTATGTATGTCAGTGGCTACCAGTTTCCAACATTTTCAAAATACTGTCTTCTATGTTCAACAACAACAACAACTCATAAAGGTTTGAAACGATGTGAGGGAGAGTAAATTGTGTGTAAATTTTCATTTTTAGGTGATCTGTCCTATAAATTTTTGTAAGGGAAGGCTGAAACTACGGTTATCCTCACCTTGCGCAGGCCGCTAACAGGAGTGTCAATAGGAAGAGAGAAGAGATTATTCATGAGCTGCTCGAAGGTTTTGGAGAGATAAGTGATTTGCTGCTCCTCCAGGTGCAGACCCAGCAGGACTCGCACGGCGATGCGGAAGGTGAGTGACTTGGCAGCGGTGTAAACCTCCACAGACCCGGTCTCAGTGCACCACTTTGCAATTTCAGACTTGACGACATCTTGAAGGCGAGTAAGATATGCCTCCAGCGCCCCACGACTAAACACTTTAGCAAGGACCTATCAAGCAAATAATAAATTCATGAATCAAATGGATAACTATTCATTGCAAGAGTGAGGGCTGGAAATTAAATGTTTTTTTTTGACAGCTCAAAGACAGTAGAATCAAGAAGATATTTATTGCTGTAGAGATATTAATAAATATGTTCAACTTACTTTTCTTTTCCTCTTGTGCAGATCTCCAACTGAGTTTACTAGAGTGTTGGGTCCCAGGATGATTCGTGTGCTCTGGGGCCACTGTGTGCAGACCACCGTATGTTCACCCAGCAGAATCTTCCGGATGTTTTCTGCACCGGTCACTCGGATGAGAGGTTTGCCCAAAAGGTGAGTTTTAAAAACCTTTCCATGTTTCTCTCGTCTTGAGATGTGAAAGCTGGAACCCTGTCACAACATAACAGAGTTTGAGCAGGACTATTCAGACTTTTGTGACTGTAAGGTAGTGTATAGCAGTTTTATTTTACATGCTCTAAAAACAAATTGTTCAGTTCTGCAACTGTGCATGAAATCAAGGTGAAATATCTGTTTTTAACTACATGAAGAATTAAATCCTCACTAATTTAACACATGCCAGAGAATATTTTTGTGTGTGCATTTGTATGGTAGATGAACTAGTTCATATGTTCAATTCACTTCACAAAAGGTGCACATCATTACATTGCAGCCAAAATCAGAGAAGTTACCGTGTATGTCTCATATTTCATTAAAAATAACATTGTTTGGGTAATCAGACATGTAATGCATAAATCACTAATAAACTATAAAGATGAAGCAAACAGCAAAGGTTAGACTCTTTACCTTTTAAATTATATGCTAAAATAGCATGTAAAATATAACATAAAGCATTCCGGTGTAAAGGCCTACATAAACTAGAAAAAAACTGAAAGAGTATGGAAAATTAAATTAAATTAGTATGGAAAAAAAATTTCTTAACAGAAAATTCTAAATAAAACACTCCGGGGTAGCATATAATGCAAAAACTGAATGAAAAATTGTGGTTTGGAAAAAAGTCCTTTTCTCAGTGAAACTGAAATAACAGAATGCTAAATAAAATGTTCCACTGTGCGGAAATTATGAAAACATATATCTATCCAACTATCTATCTATCTATCTATCTATCTATCTATCTATCTATCTATCTATCTATCTATCTATCTATCTATCTATCTATCTATCCATCTATCTATCTATCTATCTATCTATCTATCTATCCATCTATCCATCTATCCATCTATCCATCTATCTATCTATCTATCTATCTATCTATCCATCTATCCATCCATCCATCCATCCATCCATCCACATTTATTTATTTATTTATTTTATTATTATTATTTTTTTTACAAAAAAGTACTTTTCCTTATTTGTTTATAACGCAATTTTAGACCCATATACCCTGACATAGCCTATGGCATAAACACAGGAGATATTTTAATATGGCTTGAATGCAATTTTAATAGTTATTTTGTTCAGTTAACTTAATGCGCTAGGGGCGCCAAAAACCCCTTTTTTTAGCAAGATGATTTTCATTACAAAGTTGCATCATTTGTAGTAATGATGACCGCGCTGTAAAAAAGTAAATAACTGACTGATTTTAACACGTTTTTTTTTTGTTTTTTGTTTTTTACTTTAAAGCTATTTGAATAGGCTATTAATAACGTCATTTAGAACATTTCAATTTTAATAACATTTTTATTAACAACAAATACATAAGTTCAAGGCACTTTTCATTTACTTTTCGAGTGCCTTGGCCTTACGATTTTGTTGTTTATCTTTGTGAATCCCTTATCCAAATAACACCGACACATTAATTATTCCTGAATCACTTTTTGTTTGCTTTTCATTTAATTAACATTCCTGTAGCCTTTATAGAACGTTTATAAGCGTTGTAGCATACTTTCCCTGTTAGCTGCACTTACTAGCCAATTAAAATATAAAACATAATATAGGCCTAATTCAGAATATATTTTACTCAAAAAATGTATTATAATGTAACATTGTCACAATATAGCCTATAATGGGCTCTATTTCAAAACTGGTTTGTAATAGTGTTACTTTCAGAACTAAAATCTAATCATAAAGTCAAAAGATTATTATTATTATTATTATTATTATTATTATTATTATTATTATTATTATTATTATTATAAAAACAGCTCAGGACTGTTAGAAACCGACAAGAGTTTTAAAGTCTTACCTGGAAAAGCCAGTGGAAAGTTTCTCCGACCAGCGGCCAGCCCATGGATCCCTGCGGGAGTGGGAGTTTACACGTCCTGTCCCGGGTGATGCTCCACCTGAACTCCCAAAGCAGCCGCGAGACCGCGAGCAGCAGCACTGTCGGTAAGACGGCATCGGCAACCGACAGCAAAGCGGACACGAGGCAGAAATCGTGCCCGAACATCTCGAACGATGATCAAAAGCCAAAAGAGAAAGAACAGAATCCACGTGCGCCTGTGCGTGTTGTTCCAGTGATGATCTGCGGGATGGAGCGCCTCCAGAAGTTGTGCAATACGCAAGAAGCTCTCTTTACGCGCTCCTCGAATATCTGGAAATAGAATAGGAATACAACTTTACATTCACCCAACAGTGAATCATGAGGGGAAAAGGGGGATCGACTCTGCATCCAGTCTCTCCAACTTCACAGAGAAAGCCAAGAAACTGACAACTATTCCAAACAGTTTTACAAGTTGCATGCGCTGGCATGTCTTTCATTCGAGTTTATCCACGATTTCTTGGGGTGCAACTTTAAGGACAGTCCTGCTTTCAGCCACACTAACGAACTTGATAACGGGAAGTTTGGAAACAAGCACTAATATGTGCGTAATGCAGAAAATCTCTCCTCTCAAACATTTAAACGTAAGTAAACCCCATTCAGTCTGTATATTGAATAGCATATTTATAGCAGGCTACAGAAATTCAATTTAAAAATGCTGTGCCTTAGTTTTTTTTATTCAACTTTTATTCGAATATACGGAAACTGAGCTTCAGAGTTTTGTTTTTAATCCTAAAATATATGCTTTTGGAAACCGACTCTTGATAATGATCTAACTACACCTAATATTAGTTACAGAGTCTCAATTTAAGAGTGTAACAAAAATCAGTCTCTGTCAGATTTGCAGCTGCAATCAGCAGTCTAGAATCACATCATCTCAATTACAGAGCTAAAGGTGACTTACAGGTGAAACAGTGTCAGACAATGAATGTTTACTCACCTCAGCACGACTGTAAAAATATCCCCTTTCAGATTCTGTCTCTGTTAGGTGAGCTATATGAGTCTTCAGTGCATCTCGCGCGCTCGAGCTTTATAGGTATTGGCACATATTATGATCCACCTTCACCAGTGACGTGTGAGCAGTTTTTTTCTCTCATAGTTGAAAAGGTCGTGGATGGATCACAGAGGATGGGAAACGATCGTAGGTTATTCAGAGGGAATCAGAAAGAAAGAAAAAGCAACATAGAGAGTGAGTGAGTGAGCGAGAGAGAGATTGTTTGGGGTTTTACTGGTTGCTTAACCATTTCCTCATTGAGATTCCATTCGATCCTTTTGTCGTCACGTTTTCATTTATTACGATCAAAGCAAGCCTTTTTTTTGCTTATAATGTTTACATAAAATATTAGCTTACAATTTGTGTAAAATATATATTTATTTATTTAAATTTGGAAATAAAAACTTCTGTGCGTAAAAACCATAAACGCACAATGAGAGCAAATGTTTTTAAAGAATAGGCAAAAAATATGATAACGATGTATTTTTTGATAGAGAAGACGCATTTGTTTTTCCAAAAAAACATATTCGTTTAACCCGTCTATGGATTATGGGTTTTAGTGCGCATTTTAAAAAGAATGTTAATGATTTTCTGATCGCAGTTGGTTGAGCGCAACAATTCTGTTTTTGCGGTGAGATAAACGAACTGTGCTCAACATTTTAAACAAAAGCTAATATTTTTTTCTATAATATATCTAGCCTGTTTGTAATAATCAGGATTTTACATTACAAACAATTTCGTTAGCAATTTACAATAAGTTTTGTATGGCAATATTGATGGACAACTTGCTAAGGATAAATAAAAATAAAACAAATGCTTTGATTTGCTTAATGTTATATTATTTTAGCTGTTGTAGTAAAATGTAATGTTTCTATAGGCTACATTAAGTCAAAATTGTAAGCCCTCCTGTGATTTTTTTTAAATGTTTCCCAAACTTCTTATAACTAATTTATTTTGTTCATATTTTATCGTAACATATTCTTCGTATTTTGAACACTAGTGTTCAGCTTAAAGTGCAATTCAAAGACTTAACTTGGTTATTATGTTGACTAGGCAAATTGACATAATCTGGCATGATATTGGATATTTTTCCAATTTCTTACACTTTTGAATTTTTTTTTTTAATTTTGACCTTAAAATGGTTTTTAAACATTTTTAAAACTGCTTTCGTTCCAGTCAAAATGCAGAAAAATATTAAAGGAAATACTGTTAAAAAATAAAAAAAATTAATTTCAAAAGTCATTTTGATATTTGTGCCTGAAAAAAGAGGATGCCCATTTTTAAAAGAAAAAAAAACGTGCCTGTATGTAAAAAGAGTAACCAGCAAGCACATTGTTAATACAATCGCAAATTACTTAATGCAAAAAAGACAAATCATCAATATCACAAATTCACATAGACATCGTTTTATTCCATTAAAAGTATATATGTGTATGTATGTATGTATGTATGTATGTATGTATATGTATGTATGTATGTATGTATGTATATATACATATATATTTGTGTATAGATTGTGTGTGTGTGTGTGTGTGTGTTAGTGAGTTAAGTTAGTGTGGACATTAGTGTGGACATTAGTGTGTAAGTTTTGGACTAAGTTTTGTAATGTGGATTTTGTCCATCCTGCATGTTTAAATCAGGTTAGAAGATGCTGCAGGTGACAGTTTTTCATTTTTATTTATGACTAATCTCAGATGTTTGAACTATGTACAATGTGAGAGAGGGCAGGAGATGGAGAGGTGTAGAAGACATTCCCTGTCTGGGGTGGCTGAACAAATCCCGTTATTAATTTTAACAGCAGAGACCAAGAATACCAACTAAAGCTCAAAGTCAGGTTAAAGACATGCAGGGGCTTGTTGCATAGTCACACACTCATGGCCAGATCTTCTCTCACATATATCTGTAATCTGCCATATACACACAAACAAATGTAAACATTCTGATACTCTATATTACAAAATATTGGGGATTCCCAAAAAGAATAAATGTAATTCTTACAGCATGCAGCATTAGGTGATTAATAATAACATAAACGTAAAGTTTTGGATCTCATTCAGCTGTCCCCCCACTTTTAAAATGTCCGCTACACCCCTGCAGGATAATACATTTTTGTGTAAGTGTTTTATGTAATAAGTTTCATGCTACTAAAACTAAAAACCTATCTCTTTCGGAATAACCTGAACCCCTTTGGACAAAATAAAACCACTACACCCCCCTCCAACACACCCCACGACAACCTCAAAACATTCTGTTCTGTGTGCCTCAGTCAGGTTAGTGGCCTTGACAAACCACCTGTAGGAAACACACTCTTTCATTTCTTTGTTATTTTACCAGACATTTGCACCATTTTTGCTTGTGTGTGTGTGTGTGTGTGTGTGTGTGTGTGCGCGTATATGTGTATATATCAGGCCAATAGCCAGCCTATTAAAAGGGGTGTTTTTTTCTTAAAAAGTGGACATATTCGCAGTTTTTCAAGGCTCGAATACTACATTTAAGTGACATTTTAAGCACTACTTTGTGCTGCATTAGCTTGTCGATTGTCATGATGGTTATCATTACCACACTTTTTGAGGCAATGATAAATTATGTAAATAATGTAACGAGATTATAATTTTAGAAATATGATAAAATGCTTATTTTAAATGCTAATTTGTTATCATCTGTCATAAAAAACAAAACAAACAACAACAAAAACATCTGTTAAAACTTGTTTTAAATTAAAAACTGTAGCCTATAGGCAAATAACAAACTGGCCAGCTCATTTTCTCAGTCCATTTAAATAATAAAAGTCTTCTTTTATCGGTTATTTTATTGGTTATTTTTTTAAAGTCTTCTTCTATTGTCTGTTTTCACAATTTATGATGGCATACTGTCAAAAATGGGACAAATGAGCTCAAATAGGGGCTAAATTCTGCAATATGTCTGAAGAACTTTCTTTCAAACCTCCTGAACCCCCCTGGCTATGGCCCTGCATATGTATGTATATATTGTACAGTTATGACGTTAGATTCACACAGGTGAGTGGGCTTGACAAACCACCTGTGGAAACCTCTTTCTCTCTAAAAAAGCAAACAAAAAAACCCACTTCCCTCCTTCCTCTAGCACTATAAGCACAAACAATTATTTTATATAATAAGCACATATTGTGTGTATTGCCTCTTCCTATTGAAATGCTGAATGTCTCCTCAATTGTAAGTTGCTTTGGACAAAAGCATCTGCTTAATGACAATATATTATTCAGTATCAGTTTAAAACTTATACTGTACATCTACTCCATTTAGTTGCACATAAACGTAACTTCAATTTGCCATAATTTGATAGCTACAGCATATGTCATTTGTTTCCATAACTTGTGTATGTAACTTACCTATAACCTCTCAGATCCTGACTGATGACATCATCAAACAAGTTAGCAAAACCACATCACACCACCAGATGCATTAGGATGGAATTTTACAGTGTGTCTGTGTGGAATTCATCTTAATTATCATGAAACATAAAACTGTTGATGTTGACAGGCCATAATATGGTTGCGTAGATCTTTCGCATTAACAGACATGAGACACGAGTGTTTTAGCGCCTTTAATGACAATGCTGATCTTTAATATCAGAATCATCTTTGATCATTGTTGTGTAATGACACACATTTGGAGGATTGTTTCACTTTGGCTGTTGAGGTGATGAGTTGAAAAAATTTTCCTTTCTTCTGTTCAGACAAACTCTTCGTGACAAATTAAACCTATGTTCTGCTTTTTCAGACATTTCCCTGCTGAAAAATCCAGCTTAAACCAGCCTAGGCTGGTTGGCTGGTATTAGCTGCTCGACCAGCCTGGTTTTATAGGGATTTTGGCCATTTCCAGGCTGGTTTCCAGCAATGTCCAGCCTGGACTTAGCTGGTCGGGCTGAAAAATGACCAGCTAAATCAAGCTAAAACCAGCTTGACCAGCCTGTTTTAAGCTGGCTGGCTGGACATACTGGTTTTAACTGGTCATCTCCCAGCCTGAACAGCTAAGACCAGGCTGGAAAAGGCTGGAAACCAGCCTGGAAATGGTCAAAACCCCTCTAAAACCAGCCTGGTTCACCAGCTAAAACCAGCCAACCAGCCTATAGGCTGGTTTAAGCAGTTTTTTTTTTCAGTAGGGTTACACACCTGCACATTTGTTAAATTTTGAGGTGGGCTACTTCTGTTGTGCAAATCTAATTCTGTGACTTTTACATTGCACATTGAGAGTTTTTATTTTGTAAGTAAAAGTATAAAATATTGAATATTTAGCAGTTGAAATGCGTAAAAAGTGGCTCAGAATTCCTTAGCATCACCGTAGCAACATGTTGTCAACAGTTAACAACATCCTAAGATCTTGATGGTTTTTACACCGTTAAAAATATTAAGTGGATTACAGTACAAAATAATTATAAATTATAAATAAAAATACAGTAACAAAATTATTGTCCGCACCGACATACAATAATGTTCTGTTTATTCTAAGAGTGTGCTGAAGTTTTGCTGTCTGTCTCTTTAAATGCTCACACTCTTTATCTGTTGACTATCAGTGTTTTGCTCACCAGCTGAAAAAGCCGAACAATATCAAGATTCACTTTTGCAACTCTGAATGGTTATGGTGTGAAAATCTGCTCATGTGTTTGCATAATGATGCATTTAAGAGTTAAAATCTGTTTTTATAAAATTTCACAGTGTTGATACAGATTAAAAATAATGCTGATAACATTGAACTGTAAAAAAAAATGGGTAAACTCTAATTATTAATTATAATTATTAAACCGTGCATAGTATACAAATTGCTCAGTAGGTATTGCTGTTGCCTCACAGCAACAATGTCGCTGGATCGATCCTCGGCTGGGTCAGTTGGTGTTTCTGTATGGAGTTTGCAGGTTCTCCCCATGTTCGCGTGGGTTTTCTCCAGGTGCTTTGGTTTCCCCCACAGTCCAAAGACATGCAGTACAGCTGAATTGGGTTAGCTAAATTGTTCGTATGACTGTA